ATAAATTCACAAAAAATGTTACGAATATAGGTGTTGTGTGTATTTTGTTTAAAGAGCAAAAATATAGATTTTTACGAGAAATGGCCAGTGGTAATGTGTCATTGAGGTGTACCAAAAAAAAAAATGTTATGTATCATAATTTATGATTTATTAATTTTATAACATAATATAATTTTTATAATAGCAATTTTCAAATAACTATTTATATAAAATAATATTAATATAATATAGTATACATATAATATCATTTTTATAAGATATATCAATTTTGAAAAACTACTTATATAAAATATTTATTTTGGCGCAAATGATATGTCATTTTCGTACCTTTGGCGCTTATGTCATATAACCAATTTATTAATTTGTCTTTCCGGTTAATGAAATAATAACTTACCTGTGCAGGCCATTAGTTTAATTTTTTCGCAGCACCAATAATATATGTCCTCTCGATTCTTGTCTTTTGTCATTAAATATCCCTTGACACATATTTTGGCATTTCCTTTTTGAGATGGGATAATTTGACATACTTCACTCATAATTAAAAAACTCCTTACTTATATTTAAAACAAAGGTACTATACAATTAACACGCAAAAATACGTTTGTTCATTTGAAATGTTCAATCGTTCACTGAGACTTGGGACAAGTAATTGAGCGTTTTAGATAATATAGGTACTAAATTAAACTTTTATAAGATAAGATAAAATTATTTTATTTTGTCGATATTTTGAACTGTCGGTATTTTGAACTGTCGGTATTTTGAACTGTCGGTATTTTGAACTGTCGGTATTTTAGACTGCCGGGATTTTGGTTTCGGGCTTTTGACCATTCGGGATTATCATTGTCGGGATTTTGAACGCCTCCCATAGTTGTTAAAGGTTACTAATAAAACTGTTGTCTATTAAAAAAATCATAAATAGGTAATAAATATTAATAATTTAACTAGGTACTTTGAACTCTAGGGGAAGGACAGCCTGCAAGTGCGAAGTACCTCCTCGTAGCGCCTTGATACACCTTAGAAAAAAAATACTTCGAACTTATTATGTCGATTGTTATCAAAAAAAGCTATTAATTTTAGATTCTGATCGGAACGATAAATGTATTTACATGATGTGTGTTTTTAAATTATTTTTTTTGTGTGTCTGTCATCGTGGTTTCTTGCAGTAAAAAGGTGTCGCGGTAAAATGTCATAAGAGCGAGGTCATTTGGTTGCGAACAATATTTTAACTGCGGAACATAAATATCGTAAGCTATTTGAGCCCGATAACAATATTCAGTACCTACTGCGTTGCATATAGTGTTGGTTAATCAGTTCGCTTGTGACATTTGAGATTTTCACGTGTGTGATAAATGTATTAATTTAATTTAATTTAATTGATATTATACGCCATGGTGTTAAGGTATGTGTTAAGCCAAAATGGTGAAAAAGTAATAGTACACGATAATTTTATACATCGCAAAGAAAAGACCACTAACGAAAAAATTATTTGGTTTATTTAATATTGCTAGTCAACTACCACCAATCAACCACTAAAACGAATAGAACAACGTACAAGTAAACAAATCAATTCAGCACCACCTAATCCAGCGACATTAACTGATCTTAGAATTCCAGATGTGCATAAAAAATCTGTAAGTGGTGAACCATTTTTATTATACTATAAACGGATTTTATTGTTTTCGACGTTAAAAAATTTAGAATTATTACATAATAGTAATTATTGGTTTGCCAATGGCACTTTTTCATGCACCGCAAAATTGTTTACTCAACTTTACATGATTCATAGTATCATAGATGCAAATGTGATACCATTAGTTTACTTTATTTTTCCCGATAAATCCGAAGATACATATCGCCGAATGTTTGTGGCAGTAAATTCGATTAAATCTAATCTTAATCCAAAACTTTTTATGTTAAATTTTGAAAAGGCTGCCATGAATGCTATAGTACATGTTTACCCTGACACACAAGTTAAGGGTTGTTTTTTTCACTCGGATCAATCTTTTTGGCGTCATATCCAAAATTTAGGACTTCAAAAAAAATATTCAGAAGATCCAGAATTTTCATTATGTTTACGTAAATTATTGCCATTAGCTTATGTCCGGGAAAAAAAAGTTATTGATTGTTTTGAATCATTAATTAGTACAGAGTTTTACGAACAAAATCAAAACTCGTTAACTGAACTCTTGGATTATTATGAAGATACGTGCATCGGTAGACCAAACAGGAGAGGTCAAAGAAGACCTGCATTGTTTAATATTAGTATTTGGAATTGTTATGAATTAATCCAAAAAGACATTCCACGCACAAACAATGCAATAGAAGGTTGGCAATTCTCTGGTTTCAATTCTATGTTGAATGCAGTTCATCCGTTCATATGGACATTTATTAACGCATTGAAAAACGAAGATAATTTAAATCAATTCAAAGTTGAACAAGCAATTTATTGCTGGATATTCAGTTCCTAAAAAAAGAAAATATAAAGATTCAGCTCTACGGATTAAAAATTTTATACTGCAATTCGAAATGAAACCTATTGATGGATATTTAAGGGGCATTGCTGCAAATTTTCAACTACAAATATAATAACTTGATTTTTTGGCTAGATTTTTTGAAAAAATTGTATTTTTATATTAACTTTGATTTTTTGACTGGATATTATTAAAATTATATTTTTAATTAACTTTTCGCTCTTATTATATGCGTTCTTTTTGCTAATGCGATTAAATTGATCGAGACCAAATTACATCGCTTTTACGCGACCAAATGACGTGGAACCCAGTAAAAGTGCTTCGACAGCAACTTTTCTGGCAGGAAAGAGGATTTAGTTGATGCATTCGGGAGGTCAAAATTTACAATTCTCAATAATTTTCAAACGTAACAGAAAAAACAAATAAAAAATGAAAGAAAAAAGATATTTTTCGGTTTTCGAGAAAATCGATTTTTGTTTTTAGCGTAACTCTAACAAAAATGATTGTAGATACATGACATTTTCACTGAATATATTTTGTATAAGCATTTTCTATACACTTTAATATTTTCAAAATATTTTGATTTGTGTTGAACTAATTATAGGCGAATGAAATTTTAGATTATTATTTGTTTTTTTAAACCCAAGTCGATAAAAAATTTTTTGCCTGGTCAAAAAACTTGAAAATGTAATACAAGGTTCCTTGTAAACTGTTGTTTAATGTATTGCCATTAAGCCCGAATGTACAGCGATTAGCGAGCACAAGTTTGAGACGTTTGAGTGTTGAGTGTCTGTTTGCGACGTGCGTGTCTGCATGGCTGTGTGCATCACTCGTGTTAGTGTATGGGTGTACCTTATTATTGGAAAATTATCAGAAATCTATTTTGTCTCGTCAGTGCCGACTGCTGACCACGGCTAATAGATATAATATAATTATAAGGGTATATGGGCAATGGGCATATGGCATAAATCTAAAGATATTTTATCGACTAAATATAGCGTTATTGTAATCGCCAGCCTCAATAATTACAATGTTCAATCATCGACTACAGATACTAGTATTTATAAGTTTATAACCAATGGTTCAATGTTTACAAATTGATTCGATTGGAACCCGAGTCTGGAATCTCGAGTAAACTTAATATTTTTTTCCATTTAGCTATGGGCCCATAATATATGAAAATGTCCAGTGGACCATTTACCTATATTTACATTGTTTTTGTTTTGTTATAATTGTGTCGTGTGTGAATTATGTAACGCAGATTACGCCGAGATGATTCGAACTTCATTTCTATTTATTTAGGCACAGGTAACAGTTGGCCAGCTCCACAAACTGTGAGTTTTATTTATTATTTTTTATATTTATATACTTGAGTTGTTGGGTCAAAAGGGCCACCTTTTATTATTATTTGTGTATTATTTAAATTTGTACAATACAAGTAAACTAAAAGTCACCAGAAAACTTGTTACCATTTATTTGAGTAACCCGCCTACCATTAGTCTAACACGCACACATATATACACACCTACACATCCACCACACACTATCGCTCTCGAGTTTTACTCGGCGGTTCCGTCCACCTCTATTGAGTCGCTATACAATAAACACACAGGTAAGTCTGTATGTGACAAGGTGTGTTAATTCGTGTAAAACACGGCGAGCAGAATAATATTGTACGAAATAAAAAATGCAATATTAGTATTATGAAAACAATAAGACAAATATTCTGTTACCAACGTTATTGTCTTAGCCGACTATTTACATACGGCGAGTGGCTTGGCCACCATATGACAACTTACTAAAGCTAGACTTCACTAAAAACTACAAAAGAAGTTTTATTTGACATGTATGTCCTTGTAAACACGCACACACGGTTTTTGTATTTTTTTATGATTTATTGGTTGTACAAACAAAATATACAATATTTCATCTATAGACTATAATATAACAATAACTTACCATCATACATCTGTGAAAAATTAGAGTAGAATCAATGCCCTTCGCCATTGATTCAGTATTCACCACCTCGTTAAGAGCTCGAGCACAAGACTCATTTTTTTCATTATCAATTTATATAAATTGTTAGAACACGAATAAAAAAAATAAAAAAGACTGAATAGATGGTACCTAATCAAGTTATACTCACAAACCATACAATATTGAGATTTGTTTTCAGTCCAAAAACTTTGTCGTACTTCACTGTTTTTGTTCAACCATCCAAGACCTAACATTATTAAATAGGAACCTTGGTGACTAGTGGTCTGGTCATCTTACTTTACACCGATACAAAACTGATACATAATTCATACTATAGTGTGGTATTTATATGTCGTATAGCTAAACTGTAAACATGCGGTTGGCCTGTCTTCTAAGTGTATAGGTGAGCTTTGACATAACTCAGTACGTAGGTAATAATATAAGATTTTATCCAATCATTTAAGGACACACATAGGTATTAAAATAAAAACAGTAACAAGGTTATTTTATTCTATTACTAACTAGGTAGATCGGTACTGAATTTCAACAATATTAATAGGTTTGAATCCAATTATTATTAATGTATTACCAAAGACAAACAATACAGGCACTACGGTATTTTATATTAATATTCTTTCGGCGCTACATAAAAACCAAGAAAATAATTACAAGGATCACTATTTTTTGGCAGAATATAAGTTTGGAATTATTTCCATTCTTTCCAAGGATCCAAATTGATTTTTGGTAGGGAACTGCAAGGTACCAATGGATTTCTGAAAAAAAGTAAATCAGAAACAATTATTATGGATCTATTTATTCTTATTTTCATTATAATAGACAGGAAAAAGCATTGCACCTATAGTAGGTATATTTTGTATTAAAATAATCACAAATATATTTATTTTAAATAACTATAAAAGTAAGTAATAGCATAAACCTAACCTACTTATGGTTTCTAAATTTTTTAATGTAGCTACCCGATATATTTTTGATAAAAAAGTGTTTATTTAACTATTTATTTTCCTATTTGTTTCTCGACAATAGATAGTTAGTATCTTATTATTGATAAAGCACTTATCTGTCCTAGCTATTATAATACTATCTGCAATTTAAATAAGTCAATAAACATTTATTTTGTTTATTTTTTTAAATTTATGTTTGTACATACTTACTTTATCTTTTAAAAATGTTCCCTTGTTCTTGTTTTAAAATTTGGTAGCTAGGTACAAGGGACATATCTACTAGATACAAATATATAAGGAAATATTTAACGTTGTAATTAGTAATTTCGTTTATTTATAGAATAGGTAGATTTAATTCAGTTCAGTCTTTACTTACTACCTAAGTGAGATTATGTTAAGCAGTTATAAAATATATAAAACCTTAGTAATTTATAGAGAGATTACCGTCATGAACTAGAAATAAAAAAATCATATTAAGTACCTCTTAGTACAACTAAGATGTTTTATATATTTTTCAATAATCTCAAAATCTCTAAATTGGACATCATAATATTTTTTTATGATGTACCTACGGTGTCAATACTCAACAATATACCTACCATATTATTATTATATACTTATATAGGCTATAGACCTACAGGTAACTAATGTATAAAATAGAATACTCACTCTTTACTAATTACATCAAATGCATTGCGTTGTATATATTGAATGTCTGATGACATACACACAAAGAGTGATAATGTTGATTTTCGTATTTCATCAAGTTGATCTTTTGAAACGATTTAATACAATTACAGTGAGTAAAAAAATGCATTAAGGTTTAAATATCATAGATACCTAATGAAAGTGGCATTCGTTACCTGGGCGAAAAGATCCCGTTTGATTTCCAAATTCGTAAAAGAATCGATCGCCAAACTTCCATCTGTAAAACATTTCTCCAGAAATACACTGAAAAGTGTGGCCCAATGAAGATCCAGGTTTCAGTTTTTCTAACATACCACCCACGTAAAAGTCGACATCGTTTGGATCTTCGTACAAGCTAGCTAAAGTATCGACATTCTTGAAAAATATATTTTTTTTTTTTTTAATAATTAATTGAATAGTTATAATAGGTGGGTTCCAACTGTAATAGTTAGGTGTACAATTATTGTGTGATGAAAAATTTGTTGATGTATTTACTTTTTTAGATATTTGATCCGTAAAATCTTGAAAAGTCTTGGCTTCGCTCAACCCACACAATTGCCTAAATTTATTATACGACGGTTCTCCAAAATCTCTTCCACGTGCGATATCAAAGCTGGGCAAGTCAAAGCCTGATTCTGGTTTGCTCGGAATTCTGAATAAGTATTCGCTAACCTAAATCAACCAAATATAATAAACAGTATGACATTAACCTAGGTATTTGAAATTAATTTCTTTGAGGGCGTAGACAAATAATACAACCAATAATCATACTTCAGATGTGTAATATTGATCTTGTTCCTGTGCAATTTGACTTAGCAAACCTCTAATAAAACTATCGTAATTGTCTTTTTTCTGCACTATGTCAGTTCTTTGAAAAAAGTCACCCAGTCGAAGTTTTGACGTAACATTTCTGGCTTCATTGACCAAACTGTAAAAAAATGAATCATATAAAAGTTCTGCAAAGTAGTATAAAAAACACTGAATTAATATCATCATCATTACTCGAAATATCCCTGTATTTCACTATGAAGTGATCTGTATGCAGCACCGGTGAAACTGGTCATAGTAGTTGGATTTAAAAATTGATCGTAATCCATATTATAACCTTTTTCTAATGGTAGTAATTTGTTTGCTCTGGCATAATCTTTTCCTATGTTTTATTGAATTGAATAATATTTAAAATCGATTAATATATTTTCTAATATTATACTATAAGTATAGGACCAACAGATAGTATATATATCTCCTACACTTTGCCAGTAACGGCGCAACGTATAAACATAAATAGATATTACAAAATTAGTTTATTTGTACATATTTTATAATAATATAATATAAAATATAGATTTTTTTGTTGTATTATTTACCTACCTACTATAATAGTATAATAGCATAATCAATGATATATTATGTACCTACAAGTCCCGGAACAAATTCATAGTATACCACGTGCTGATACATTGCGATGAGTAATCTCCTGGCTTCTTGATATATTCGCTCGTCGTCCCATTCAGGATTCATTTCAACAAAATCATCGCACAGTTTGTTATGAATTCTCAATAATGAAATTGTCGCAACTGCTATATTAGGATGTTGGTTTACTCTTATATCACCTTGAATAAATATATTTCATATGTTAAATTTTCATAAATGCATTCGAATAGGTAACGTGATCGAATATGCGTTATTTATCGAGATATTTACTTAAGCATTTTAGTTGCAATAAAAAATTAAAACATATTGCATTAAACCGGAATTATAATCATTATCTAACTATTTAAAAAAATTAAATATAATAGGTACTTATTTTTTGCTAAAAAAAAAAAGTATTATCATTAAAATTAAAATTGATTTATAGGAGATTAATATTATTTTTCATTATATTATTATTATTAAGATAACATGAAAGCACTATCATAATAAATAACTAATCTATAATAAACAATATAAATATAAATTACCTGCAGCGTAGCATACAGTTTCATCTTTAGAAACGGTGCATTCTTTCGTAGCTTGTTTTACATTCGGTAAATATGATTTTCCTTTAGGCCCTATTTGTCTCCTGAGTTTCCCATGATGGTTTGTTCTTAAAGAATGTGCTATGTGTTCATCTGACCCATATAATAATGAAGCATCAAGAAAACTGGTAACTCCAATTTGCTAACAAAATAATGAAATGCATTAAACACGATTAATACTTTTTGATAAATAATTTTTTTTAAGCTATGATAAAAATAATTATATGTGGGATCAGGACTTGTATAATATAATAGTGCATAGTTATTACTGGTCTGACTGGTTTTATATGGCAACCTAGATCTGCTGTATCAGTGGCTCGTTGAGACGATAAACATCGTTTTTTTGAATAACCAGGATCATCTTTCGGGATTGTAATCTGAAGACAATCTCGTGGTAGATTTTCTGGTGTAGAACCATCCGTATTGCAACATACTATTGGACTGCCATCGTGACCTTTTGCAATAAAATTCTTAATAATATTAATTGATTATTACAATAATTCAATACTATATTGAATAAACTATCAATAAATTAAGCAAATTAAATCAGGGGTTGAAACATTTATGACTTTGGTTCCGGTTTGTTTAGGTAAGAAAAACAAAAATTGACAATTCTTGTTTTATTATCATTGGCTATACTCATATAAAAAGATAAAAATTTCTGATATGGTTATTCAAACCACTCTGTTTTCATTAATAGTGATTTTAACTGATTCCAGTATAATTGATGTGCGTTAAGCAAAATGTCAAATTAATTCGACCGTTGCCTTTATAATTTGATTTAGGTTATAGTATTTATATTATATATGTATTAAATATAAAATTATAATATCGAGTAAGACCTATCATAAGACTCTCACAATTTTAAATTCACCAAATAAAAAAAATTAAAAATTAAAAATTAAATCTATTTGTTTATTATTATTATTACCTACATAACTACCCATAAGTATAATTATTATTGTCAAGTGCGGGATGCACAACATACACATTAAAGTAATGTTAGGTTTCACTCGGAATATTTAGAGAGTGCTAATATTTGTACAAACTCACCTACAGTTTTAGAGAATATTAATTCAGTATCGTGTGCGACCACTTGACCAAATTGCATGAACAATGAATTATACTTAAGCGTAGGTCTATTCAAATCTGGGAACAAAGTTGTTCGTATTTTCCTCGGGTTTGGCAATTTTTTTCCCGATATTGCTCTTCTTACTTCGCTCTTACCTTAAATTATTGCAATGAATTTCCATATTATTACATTGAAATGAAAATACTCTAATTTTCATTAAGTACCATCCGAATAGTCGGCTTGAATAATTCGTGTGCTTGCTGTATGAGATACTCCCCAAATAGGAAATATTAAATTATTACAACTACCATTTATGGTTCTATACTTAGCATGGGGATCACATATTGGCTTGGGAAAACATTGATCAGCTAGATCAATTCCTTCGGGATCTAAGAGTCCAATAGGATTGTCCGTCAGTGATCTAAAACATACATAATACAAATTATTTAAATCCAAAAATACTTCCTAAAATATATTTTTATATTGCTATTATTCACGGTATCTTATAAGAGTTTTTATTCAAACTTTGTTCGTCATTCAAACAATTGTGCGTCCCTTCATAAAGAATTCCCAAATTACTATTTGAATCTGTGTAAGAAATAAGTGATTATAATATATTATAATATTTATTATTTATATTTATATTTGTAATTTATTTTTATCAAATTGTTTAATATAATATTATATATTATATTGTATTTTAAGATCTATTAATTTACCTGCATACGATTCATTTTCTTTATTTTGAATACGTTCGCACGATATGCTAACAATGAACACCAGGACAATTGGAATTCTCTTCATTTTTTTAACGAAGATCGGCAAATGAGTCGACACAAAGTCGTTACACTAAATGCGTTGATATAAATATTAGCTCTTATACATATATGTTGACTGTCGTAACCCCACTCAGGTATGTATCGGTTCGAGTTTTAAATAATACACAATACTATCGTACCTACAACATTTATCATTATATCATATATTATCATAAGTTTACGGAAATACCAATAAAGTATGAGCTATAATGAAGAATACATCACTGTAGTATTATTATGATATAAACTTCTAAAGTAAAAAAATTATGAACTAACTATTACGATAATAAAAGATGTATAGTAAAAATATGATTTCAAAATATTAACATACTCTTTGTCAGTTTAACTGGAAATAGGCAAGTCGTTGAGTTAATGTTAATTAGAAAATTAACTCAAAGCTTTACCCTTTAAACGAATTTAATATTTAAACAAGTCAAATCCCACAGTATGTGTATGTAATATACTTACCCACACACATAATTCTAGTACCGTACGTTTAGACAAAAGGTTAGACTAACATATTTTTTAATAATAATTTTGAACATAAATATGTTTTTGGGCTGACTACAACTTAATATTTTCTTATTGATTTTTTTAACGCTTAGAACATGTATTATTGCTTCCTGCCATATTTGTTGTAATAATATTGATATCAATATACAATTAGGACCTATGTTGATAAAAGTCCAGTCGGTGTTTTTTTTAAATAGTTCATAGATAAAGTGCATTGTCCCTATCCCCAAAAACATGTTAGGTAAAATATAACCCGTGCAACGTTTTTCTCGGACCTCGTGGTGTTTTATGTTGCTATGGGGATATAATTCGTAATTATGTGACTTTGTGATTCCTATGGTGAATGCGCGTATATAATTAAAGTAATTTTGGTATTATAATTATGAGGATTTTCTAACAGACCAAAAGCCATCGACATGATAAAAAATATTTTCAGACTAGGGAAATGTTGAGATTTACACATCATTTCTTCATCAGTTATTTTGTATATGATTATGTTATCATAATCTATTCACAAAAAATAAAAACAAAATGACAAATAGTGGACGAGCAGAGCTTATTCGTTTGTAACACATATTATTTACTTGTATAGTTATTGTAATAGTATATAATATAGGTACTTAGTAGCTACTCTAATTGTCTAGGAAATTATAATAATATGCTATTATACCCATACCCATAATATAATATATCACCTATTATGCGTTCATATTATACATTCATGTAATAGGTACCTAAATCGAGTGAGAACACAAACCGTGACGGAGAAGATAGTGTGAACCCTTCTCGTCTAAATCGCCCTCTTGGTCAACCATGGATGATACATAACATTAATATCGTATAATATTCGTATGTTCATGACCAATACGTAAAATCTAATATTTAGCGATTAAATAATATAGTAATTTACATAATATATTTTTAATAATAGTATCGCATCAACTGCGATTTTACCGTGTGTTTCGGAGCGTGACCGGTAGTTGAATACGGTGACGGTTGAATTAAGGAACATAAGGGGCCTCCCTACTGCCGTCAATTTTAGACCAAAATACCTTTAGTTTTAACAAAATTAAAGTTAAATAGTTTAGATTGTTCGGTTTTTATTTTGGAAAAAAAATTTGAACTTTACAGAAAATTGTCTATAGGTCTTATGGAACACTTTGTAAAAATTAAATCTTATATTATTGTGAACTATAAATAAAAACTTGAAAATATGAACTTTTTAAAATTATAATAAAAAAATCAATGTAAACTAGCTTGAATTGTAGTAAAACAATTAGTAAATTGTCATAAAATTCGTATAGTGAATTTTATATTGTTATCGAGTTAGTGGCATGTGCATGCGAGTGTGGTACTACATTGAATATTTCACTCGCACGAATAAACATTTACAACTAACACATAGATCCAGAGCAGCTAAGACGAGATTAGAAATTTCCTAAATGTTGTCCCTTAATAGTCACTGTCGTAACTATTATAATATAGAGCCAAAATTAAATTTTCGGTGGTGAGACACGTATTGTCCGCCTGGCATGAAATTATTGTCTGCCCGCAATTTTTTTCTCTATTATATATTATGTTCTTCATATTTTACTCGTTTCATCTCATTTCGTCAACAGTAAAACCAGTTATATATAGATTGATAATCAATCCCGTTTCGCCAAATTCTATCCTATCCTTGCCGAAAAATCATAGGTTTTTACTCATCAGAGCATGGATGAGTAGGAACTACACTCTGAGAATCAGCTTTTCGAAAAATGAGTGTTAAATTTGAATTCAATGATATATTGATATTACATCGAAATTTCAACTTTATTAAAAATCAAAAATTATCAGCCCTTTTGAAGAAAATCGATTTATGATTAAAGTGGGAAGTAAGCTATTTTAGGTATCATCGTCGAGGAAACATAGTTCCGTAATCTTATCGCTGATAAAATGACAATAATAATAAAAACTTACATCTACAATATATATGTTAAACATATAATGAAGGGTTTACGCAAAGTCACACTCTTTAGTGAAAATAAAATAAACCTAATATTGATATGTCAGATTGGTATAAAATCAGTTCAAAGTCTAAGAATAATGATACCATATTGGTAATTATAAAAGTAAATTAATATGATTTTTTAGTACATGATTATTAATTTTATTACATTGACTCTTAAGGCTTATGCATTGCTACGAGACAAAAAAATAGCAACTTATTCGAGAATGTTTAAAATAATAAAAGAAGCTGCTCTAAGGAATGGTTTAATATTTAACCCCAATACATTTCAAATAGACTTTGAAATTGGTATGATTGTTTCTATTAGAGAAACTTTTGGCTATGAAACATTTATAAAAGGAAGCTTATTCCACTGGAGTTAACAAAATGTAGGGCTTTTTTATGATTACAATTAAAATTACGAAAAAAAAACAGTTAACCGTATTTGTAGCCTAGCTTTAATACCAAAAGACCAAATTGATTATAGTTGGATAGAAATTCATGCCCAAGCGCCTCAGCATGAAGCTACCTCATTTACCACTTCCATTAATTTATGATACAATATTATTACTAAGTATATCAAAAATGTCGTTTTAGTTTTGATGAAATTTGACTACATCATTGTAGTTATACACTAGGCAAACGATAAGCCCACTACTCTGCTCATATTATACATTTCAATGTTTAAAGTTATAGTTAAATTATAGTGGTTAGCTTTCAAAGTTCCGAAGTTATGGTCGACCCACATTACTCAAATCTATCGGAAATGCTTGTCTTACTTTGCTAGAATTTGAAAGTCCATTTTCAGAATTTGCTAATCGTTAGGGTTAAAAGTTGATAAATGATCTTTCAAAGTTCTGAAGTTGTTCTACACACCCAATTTAATCCAGAAAGTCCTGAAATGTTCACCTCAATTTGCTGGTCGTCCAAAGCTAAGATATGAGCTTTAAAAGTTGTAAAGATGATCATTTTTATTTACTGCAGTCTTATTAATTGGCATAGCGTCTGGAAGGTTCACTAAAAGAGGGAAAGCGTTTCGCTTTCATATTATCTGACCGAAAATTCATGTTTAATTTTTTTCATGAGTTTCCACGACCTATTTATCAATGAACCATCACTATCAAAAGAAGTGGTACCGATTACAATTTGTTACATTCAAAAGGAGTTCCACATGACACGCGGTACTCAACGTCAACCAGTACCAAGTACAGGCACCTCAGCGACCGGTCTACGTTTATACCAACCACACCATGGGTTACGATAACACGATACCGTGGACTTTCCCGCAAAGGCACAAGGTGGGGACGGGGTCGCGCTGGACAAATGCAGGCGATCACCTCCCCATCTTGAGCGTAGGACCGAAAGGTACACCCCGAACGCCGTTTTCTCCGGTAATATAAAAAACGTCTATTACTGCCCTAGTATTATATTTTAATACCATGATCAGGGCTCGAGAGTTCATGTCCTAAGAAATGACTAATAGAGTACGAACTTATGCACTAAAAACTGGTGAAATATGCCTCAAAAAGTTCAGAAATTAACGTCCACGCATTCACAAGAACTACTGAAATAGTTGGGAATAAACCACTGTAAAAGTATCAAGAAGATAAGACTATTTCACATTTGCACATGCCATGTTTTCTACTAACTGCTTAACGCTATAGGTATATGTTTTATTTTTAATAGTTTGATTTTGTGAAAATTAAAATATATTTTATGTTCATACATTGTAAAAATATTAATTATTTCATTTTCATAAAATTGTTGTAAAAAATATGCTACATATGAACAGTGAAAAAGAAAAACGCATACATAATATGCCAAATAGTCGAAAAACCTCTAAATATGCAAACACATGCAAAATAATACTTCACATACTCAACCACGGTACCTTGAAATAGATTTCTACGTCACATAGTATTAATTACGACTTAGCAAGATTGATATGCAAATGGATGAACTCACCAGACCCGGTTATGATAATCGTCTTTGTCGTTCACGTTGTCACTAATTTTTAAACAATAACGAGTGATATCATTAAAGCACAGAGTATATATTATATAGGTACCTTCGTCATGCGTATCCACGCCTAACCACCACGATCATCAAATAGCGACCAGCCTATACCGCGGACATCAATCCAGCACCACAACCGCCGTGTCCGCAAAAATCTGTTTTGCGCGGGACAACTTTTATCTTTCTGTGTTTGTAGTAGTGGCTCCAAAATTTCTAAACATAACGAGTAGAAAATTATCTATGCAACAGAGTGCCTATATTTTAGATAACACAAACACAATAAAAGTAATTTGCTTCTAAACATTTTGTTTTGTTGTTTTTTTCATTTGCTTATAAAAAATGATTGGAAAGTGTAATTAAAAAAAAGCACGCTGTTGCACAGATAAAGTTCTTCTTTACTTGTTGTGAAAATTTGGTAATTCCACAGCAAATATGGTGCGAGAAAAGTTGTCCCGCGCTAAACAGTTTTTGCTACGTTGTACATTTGTAAGACAGAGATAGCACATGCGGGTGTGGCGTCCTCTTAAACTGCACGATATACATGAGTAAATGCTGCCGCCGTAAGCGTAGCCGACGAAGCAACAGTTATATTATGACAGAAGAATCAATTATTCTATATATCCTAAACATTTATCTTATTATCCAGTGACCCTCATAAGTTGAACACAACCGAAACTAACACATATGAATTGTATCCAACAAATGTGTTGGTAACTTGTTGGACAACGTTGAATTACTCCCAAACTTTGTTGCACTCATTACACCGTTTGTGCTTTTTGACGCCAACTGCAAAACTTTATGATACAACCGGAGTAAAAATGTTAAAGCCATTTTGTTGGCAGCTGTTGGACAATATTCTGTTGGTGCTGCAAGCCGGTGCTGCCGACAGAAGAATTTGATGTTTAACGACATTTGTTCAGAGTATACTTGCCGAGCTCGTTCTTACTTACCTAAAGAACTATGTAAGCTTAGCACATAAAGTTAAAATAATTCCAACAAAGCATTCCCGGACTTGTTGGAAATTGTTGAACATTTGTTTTAAAAATATCAAATACACTTTTCGTGTTCATATAAGGTATAAAATTCAATAGTTTGAAAGCTTTGAAATTCATTGTTGTTCTAATTTAATTTAAGAACAAATGATTTCTAAAGATATTGTCGAGAACCAAATTTATAGTTACGATTTCTGTTAATCACTTTTATTAGGCAATAATGTCGTGGTTGTCGTATCGATCAGTCGTGTAATGACCACAGAAATCCTATTACTAGTACTCGACGCGTCTCCTGTGCTGTCTTAAAATTTATAAAAAACAACATATTTGTTCAATGATTATTATTTATACATAAAAATTCGAAATTCGATGTAAAGTCCTACATAAAAAAACTTAAATTATTTAATCTTACCACGACCAAACTGCAGACAGAACCGTTTGGTTGTTAACATATTTTAGCATCAGGTATACAATACGTTGAATTCATTTTTTCAAAAACAAAATAAATATCATATTTTTTATTTTTTATCATATTTTAATTGTTATTATAGTAATATGATTTAGTGCAATGTTTCTAGCTGTTTTACGTTAACTTTCAAGTGAATATCGACAGATACAATAATATATTATCGTTCTTCGCTCTCACTTACACTCATACACTGATTTGCTTATTATGTTTTTTGGAGCTGAGGGAATTGTATTCATCTCTCTTTTTATTTATTTGATAAGAGATTTAGGCGAATTATTATGACGCCATTCTAATACATTTTCAGCATTCGGAGACATGAAAATGTAGAACTTCAGATCTTTTTCTTCAGGAAAACTATTTAAATAGTAACAATGGCTCAAGTATAATTAAAATTTGTATTTTTTTATTCGAATTAAATAATTATCAACCACTTAGTTTTTAATATTCTCTACACTTAGAAAGTATACAATTAATATAGTTACAATTTTTTTTAAATTTTAATTACGTAGTACCCGGATTACTATACTTCGTTCTAATTTCTAATACTAAGCACATAATATACTACTTACTTATATACTAGGTACATATGAGACAAAGTATATAAATATGTGGAACTAAAGTGTTTGACGAACGATATTCCTATAAATTATCTATCCAGGGAGCCAGATTGAGTTTTGTTATTGAGTTGCAAGATACCAATGGGTTTCTGAAAAAAAAAGTTGATCATTAATTGTATCTATGAGTTAAGTATGCAACGATAACACATTTTCATCAATAATGGTATTTGTCACGTAATAATATTAATAATGATGTTATCAAATAAATTGACACTTTTAAAAGTGCACAATTATTTTGGGTTGCAGACATTTGAACAGTAATACCGGTTGTATTCTAAATATGTTTATAAGGGAAACAATTATTGTAACATGAATTTGTAGGATACAATTTTTTAAAGACCTGTGTATATGTAGGTATTGCATAGAGTTATGTGAAAGCTATCTAAGTTGTAAATAATAAAGTTCGAAATTACTCACCGACCACTAGGTACATCAAATGCATTGCGTTGTATGAGACGAATGTCTGACGTTACACACATTATGAAAGCTAATGTCGTTTTTCGTATTTCTTTAAGTTGGTCTTTATAAAAAATAAATTTGATATATTAAACAGTTATAATGAATACCTATATAAAAAGCTACTTAAATTGTATAACCGCCAACGTTACCTAAGGTAAAAGAACCCGGTTGCTTTCCGAATTCGTAATAAAATCTGTCACCAAATTTCCATCTGAAAAACATTTCACCGATGATGCATTGGAATGTATGCCCAAATATGGATCCCGGTTTCTGTTTTTCTAAATTACCAGCTGCGTAATAGTCAACATCGTCCACGTGTTCGTACATGCTAGCTAAGGCATCCACGTTCTATATAAAATGTTTTAGATTTATAAAATATTATAAATAATAAGACAGGTATTACGTAGACATATTATGCATATTTTATGTATTATAGTATTAAACATCTTTACTTTTTTACTTATTTGATCGGTAAAGTCACCAAATGTTCTGGCCGCTCTCAAACCACACAGCTGTCTGAATTTATTATAAGGGGGTTCACCGAAATCTCGGCCGCGTTCCATGTCTAAGGTGATCAAGTCAGAACCGTCTGTTTTGTTCGGGCTTCTGAATAGGAATTCAGTGATCTGGATCAAACAATTAACACATATTTCATTGTTTCAAAATAATAGTAATTTTTTTCCAATGATTAATACAGTAATTATGACATTTTATACTATCAACACCGAAATAAAATACCTCTGTCGTGAAAAATTGATCTTGTCCTTGTGCGTGTTGGGTCAACATTCCTCTGACGAGACTATCATAATTGTCTTTGTTTTGCACAATGTCAGGTCTCAAGAATATGTCACTTAAACGGAACGTTGATGTGGTTTGTCTGGATTCATTAACCAAACTGTAAAATAAATCATATTATCAATTAAATTTAAATCGGTTTCCGTAGAACAACGAAGTTATGGTTATTTAATTTCATTACTCCATCGATCCTTGTATATAACTGTGGAGACCTCTATACGCAGCAGCGGTAAAACTAGTGAATGTAGTCGGGTTTAAGAATGCGTCATAATTATCGTCAAATCCATCATTCAACGGTAGTAATTTATTTGCTCTGCAATAATCTCTACCTGTATTTATTAAAACATACTTTAATAATAACCATGCATTATGCGTACGGTACTATAATGTGCATTTGATGTATACTCATCATTCTGTATTAGTTATATATTTTACTATTGAAAATCCTATATTTATGAAAAATAGTGTTTCTAGTATTGAGCGCCTACCCAAAATCACCGGCAAAAATTCATTGTATGTAACATGCTGATACATTGCGATGACTAATCTCCTGGCTTGTTGATATATTTTTTCGTCGTTCCACGTGGGGTTCAATCGTTTAAACTCATCACACAATATGTTGTGCAATCTCATTAAGGAAATTGTGTTGACTGCCATGTTGGGATGTTGGTTAACTCTCGGATCCCCTGAATGCAACGCAAAGTTCATTCAATAATTAAATACAGTTGAATATATCAGATTTTTGTAAAATAAATTTATAAAAAATTATATCAATCACGGATACATAGATTTGCATAAGACATATATTTATTTAAAATTGCATAGAAACGGTTAGACAATGCAGGTACTATTTTGTCGGTATAAATATATTAATATGATGTACAGTTTTAAATAGTTATGCGCAGAACAATAATACTAAATTCAATGCGAAAAAAAACAACCCGTGAAACATTGTTGGAATGCGAAAATTCATATAACAACACATCTTCATTCGATAAGAATCATTTTAATTTTTAGTAAGTTGAGTGTCCGACGATGATAGTTATTTAATTATTGCTTTTTGCTTCAGTTAATTTATAAGGAGTGTGAACATGTTTCATATTTAGTAGCTATATATTAAATTTATTGTCCTGACAATTTTGAACAGTGTACGCAGTCAAAGAATTATATTTGTTTCGATATGTTAGAAGGCCTATTTCAAAACGTAGTTATTGAAATTTATTAATATATTAATATTCATAAAAATGCCTGTAACTTTAAATATGACATTTTACAATTTATAAAAATGTCACATACTCACATAATATTCTAAAGAGAAAAAACATAGAAATAATTCACGTTTCAACACATATTTTGAGTGTGTATATGTTTATATAATTATTGTTTTACAAGCAAATTTTATTTTCAATTAGGTATGCAACTTGCTTTAACTGATAATATCGAACTATTCAAGTGATTTTTGTTCACGGAAATTCTATAACGATTTATGAATCAATTTATTTATTTTTTTTTTTGTTAGTACAGTTGCGTCATTGGGGGGAGGGTGTCAATGTGGGCATTTTCCCTTGTCTAATTTTAAATTCAACTGATTTTAAAAACTCACCAAATTAATATAAAGGACCTTGAACAATTTTAATGGATAAATTAATTTGAATTACCTGAAGCATAGCACACAGAGTTATCTGTAGGGACGTTGCACGATTGTGTTGGTTTTTTGACATTTGATAAGTATGATTTTCCATTAGGTCCAATCTGTGTTTTTAGCTTGCCATTAATAAGTGTACGTAAACTTCTTGCCGTAACAGTATCTGAACCGTATAATGCGGAGCCGTCAATAAAACTGCTAACACCAATAAGCTAAAATACATAATCACATTAAGAAAAATATAATATCTTTTATCTCTAGGCGTGATGATTATTATACATTTATATACAGAGAGAGAGGGGTATAGTTTATAATATTTCGGGTACATAACATTATATCAACATATATCCTAAAAATATAACTAAAAAAAAATTTAGGGGCTCAGTCCATCTAGCCCTCCTCCCCCATTCGACGGCTAGGATTTTAGGTACAATGTGTATTAAATGAATAAGACTTATATTTTAAATGTAAATACGCGTGTACAGCTCTGAAAATTGTATGACAGATCATGATGCTTACTTGTCTGACCGGTTGAATCTGACAACCTATGTCCGACGTATCAGCTGATCGTGGAATGGACAAACATCGTTTTTTCGAACCAGGATCGTTTAGTGGGATTGTTATTGGAAGGCACCCTTTCGGCAGAAATTTTGGAGTCGTACCATCTGGGTTACAACACTCGAGTTTACCGCCATTTACTTTAATAAAACACATTTTTATTATTCACACATGTTTCGATCAATTTATAGATGATTAATACGTATATTAATATATATGTATTTTATAATCTATAAATTCAATAAAATATTGCATAAATTGTTTTGAAATATTTTCTGATTATTTATGTTATACTTTTACAGATGTGCTGCTGTATTTTTTTTTATTACTGAAATAAACAAATAAGTGTATTACGTATAGACTATAGACGTATAGTACACTAATCGGATCCTATTAAAAATAGATATCTATATATTTTTTTAAATCATTAACTCAATTCAAATACAAGTTAGTTGGTGAAATAAAAAAATTAAGTAAGAACAAAAGACGTCATCTTCTCTTTCTCTAATACACGGGTGTCTTATATTAAGAAATAAAACCAGTTCGCTTACATACAATAATATGATAATATAATAAAATAATTATTTATCCATTAAAAAATTGTCTCCTAACTCATTCTAATTTAAATATATTGGTTTTAAATGTTTAATACATTTATATTGTTTGTAGTTATATAAAAATGACAAGTATAACATATATGTTTTATAAAAATATAAAATAAATAGGTCTGGGTTAGTACGAGTGTACCGACTATATAAAATACGAATATCTAATTGGTTAGTTGATTCGTGCAATGCAATAATAATATGTTGAATGTTGATATATAATTTACCTACGAAATACCAATGAGTCATAACTCATATTATAAAGTCATGACTAGGGCATATACTTTCATACATAAAAAGAAATCATCAAATGTGCACTTCTGAAGTATCAATAAACTCAAAAATATGCCCCTTCCACTAAAAAAATTATATTTATCTTTAAATATTTAATAACACTATCATATAATATATTTTTATTTTGTCATACAGCCAATGTAGATCTCATTCTTATTATGCTGTAAATAATAATGAAAAAAGGATATTTAAAAATAATTGTTAAAGAATTCTCGAATATTTTTCTTACCTAAATTGATATTGTTAATACACACCTTAAACACACGATAAAACGTAATACACACAGTTCTAGAACTAAATAATAACTGTACCACATAGGTATTATTCGTTATGCAAAAATACAAAAATATACGCAATAAATAAATTGATTTCAATTTGTTATAATCTAGTCTAACCACTAATCATTAAGATACAAATTAGTTTCTATGTCGTCTTTATGACAAATACTAAGTTTAATATAATAATATTGTTGACCTCGATTCATGAAAAATGTTCACCGAAATTCATTACTTTTGATAAATTTGAAGCTTGAAATATATTCTTACAATCTAAAATATGCAATTTAAATCCAAAAATATCGAAATATACAAAAATATGCGGTAAGAAAGTTGAGTATTTGATCACAAATGCTGTGTTATATTTTTAAGATACTCGTATAATTTTGTCTATGAAATATATAATATTATTATATAGGTACAAATGTTGGTTAGTAGTTTAGTACTATTTATAGGTAATATTTGTACATGCATCTACATAAAAATGTATAAATGTTATAGGTACCACTGAAGGCTAACGACCACTACTGATAAGACGACCAAAGTGAGATGAGGCTCTACGACTAAGATCTAACCATTAAACTTTATTGCGTTCTAATAAACACACATCAATTTTTTTTCGCTAAATTTCATACATTTTTTTTTATTATAAAATACTATGCTTGGAAATAATGACAATTTTTTAATGATATGTTGAATATTTAAGAATATTTAATTGTTAGATTGAAATAGGTATTCACCTGAAAGCTTAGGAAATGCCAATTCAGTATCGTGTGCAATCATTTGTCCGAATTGCGTGACCAATACATTATGTTCTGGTGCTGGTTTCTGCACATCTAAGAACAAAGTCGTTCGTATATGTCTGGAATTTGGCAATTCGCGACCCGAAATTGCTTTTCTTTGCTGCGATTTACCTTAAATTGTTTTATAACATTATATCGTTAATTTTTTTTTATAATTGATTAAATAAATACACGTTTTTGAATACTACACAACAATAATAGTTTTACTATTATTAAATAAACAATTCATAGATAACAGAAACAAGGGGGCACTAAAATAATAATATTTTATATTATATTATACTAGCTACCATCCAAGTAATTTGCCTCGATAATTCGGGTATTCGCTGTATTCGCTTGTCCCCAAACTGGAAAATTCAAATTATTACAACCGCCATCTATGGTTCTAAATGGTGCATTGGGATCACACTTGGGCTTAGGAAAACATTTATCGGCAAGGTCAACGTCTATTGGTGATAACAGTCCAACCGATTTTGATGGATCCATTAGAGATCTAATAAAAATGTTTAATACATTATACAATTATACGTTCATTAATAATATACAAGCCTGGACATAAGCGAATTAAAAAGTTAAGTTAAGTTAAAAGTTAAGTTAATTTTAACTTTTTAACTTTAATTTTCGATAACTTAATTTTTAACTTGACTCATTTTAATTGATATAATCTTAATAAATAACGAGTTACTTTTAATCAAATTAAAATTAAGTTAATTTATAAATAATTAAATAATAAATACAACAAAACTATTATTAATGATGCATATTACATATTATAGAAGTACATTTATTTTTTGATTAAATTACCTATTTAGTTCTACAATTTTTAATTTTCACAACACATTCAGTGCACATTAATTAGAGACTTGGGGATCTCTTATAGTTTAAGTTCCCTGAAAAAGTATTCAGAGTTTAAAATTAAGTACATTCCTTAATACCATGTTATTTTTATTTAATAATTAAAAAAAATGTATGTGTATTAATAAATTAAAACTTTGTACTTATTTCTGTATTTTGTATTCTTTTGGTACCTATACTACCTAATATTCTATTCATCAGCATCTAATAATTTAATTATATGTATGGAAAAGCTTTTGGATATTCCCTGTGTTCAATAATATTTTTGATTTTTATTATTTGATACCATATTACTGATTATTTATATAGATATTTAAAAAAAAATAACTTAAGTTAATAGAACATTTTCATATAACTTTTAACTTAACTGAGTTAAAAAAAAAATAGGTTAACTGTTAACTTTAAACTGTTTAGTATGTTTTGCATCAACCCAACTTAACTCAGTTAAAAATGATCATTAACTTGCCCAGGCTTGATAATATGGAAATCAATCCTGATGTATAATATTATATTATTATTAGAATTTAATTTAATTTACGGTATCTTAGCTGGATTTGAATCTACAACTGCATGTTCGTCCCTCATTATCGACACATTATGAATTCCTTCATCCCGAAAAAAATTGTTTTTCTTGAGAACATTATTTTTGGCATGTAAACACAGTGATTCTGGCCGTCTATTCTTATCTAAGTAAACGCAAATGGAAATATGAGTTATTAAAATGTCATATTATATTTTCTTTATAACTTTTACTCAAATGATTTTATATGAGTTTTATATTCACCTGATTTGAGTTCGGTTTCTTCATGTTTATGAAAATTACACGATACACAAACAAACAACGAGAAAACAATAATGATTCTTTTCATTTTCTTTTTTTAACTTCTGTCAACAATGCGACGGTCACAACTGAAACGCATTGAGGTCTTTGCTGTGTATGTTTGGATTGCCGTAACCCTACTTAACTATTTATAGGTTTGGATTTTAAATATTATGCTCAAACAATACTATCTTGCAAATTGTATCAAATCGTTCTTAAATACATGCCATTACAAATAATTACAATGGCATTACAATTTAAACTGTTGAGGCCATTATTTTGCGGCTGGTTACATTAAACACAATAATTAGTGCTTTTGGTAAACTAATCTTTCCCGGCCACAGGTATTTAATTATAAGCGATTATAACTATTCATGCAAATTTGCAAGATTTATAATTACTCAATAATTATTATCATATTTTGCATAATTGAATTTTGATCTAGTTAAAAAAATTAATTAAATAGGTACTATTATATAGTAACATATATTATACATTATTAGAGTTCATTTCAAAGGGTTTGAACGTAAAATAAATTCGTGAAAAATGTTGTATATTTTTACCGATATGGATATGTTTACCGGTTTACGGAAATGCGATGTAGGGATTCTGCTCAAAACAAATTAATTCGACGACAGGTGATACATTATTATTCATTTAAATATTACAATAGTGCGGCGATCTTAGGTTGGAAGGTTCAACCTACATTTGAATTACCGCAAGCAGTTAATGAACAATAAAATATTATATTTCTATGATTAAAATATGATTATTAATTTTTTTTTTTTTTTTAAGAATGCATTATAATAATATGTGATTTTAATATCTTATATAGTACAAGGCGTAATAGTTATTCGGTTAGGTTAGTTTTAACATAAACAAACTATTAAAGAATCAGTATTTTTTTTTTATATAGTTTTTTTTCATTGTCTTAAACTAACAATGAACCGAAAAAATACAATAATATTCTAATTATTATCACAAAAGTTATGTTATTTTAAGACTATGAGTAACTACAATAATAAACATTACATATTCGATAATTTAAAGCTATCACTCTGTGCCGTACAATGTTGTAATAGTCACGTCCATCAGACAACAGTTTTAATTTTGACGGAGGAAATGAAAAACATAAAATATTTTAGCCATTATAATAAAATCAACACGTATTTATCGTTAAATTAATTATAGAGGGGCAAAAAGTAAGAGAAGGTTAGAATACATGAAAACCAAAAGTATTTTTTTTTATAATTTATTAGGAAAAAAATGCTAAATAAATGATATACATTTTCCAATTGAAGTACCAAAGTCGACTTTTCTTGACTCAAAAGATGTACAATATTTAGAAAGTATATATCATGTAACATGTGTAGTCCAAACATCGGATTCTAATTTTAATCTTCTTTCCAGGCAGACAAATCAGGTTTTGGTATAGAGCTGCAGGATACCAATGGATTACTGAAAAATTATAAATACATTATTATTATTACAAATTAGTTTTCACACATTTTTTGTTTCTGTAAGTTAATAATTATCTTGACACGAATCGAGACTATAAGCACTTAGGTACTAGTTTAACGCACAATTTATTCCACCATTCATAACCATTACACAATTGTAATTTGAAAAATAACAATATTTTTATATGTCTATTTAATATAACATTAGATGGAATTGTATACTGTAGCTTGTATAGTACTAATTTCAATGTGGGGACATAATATGTCACACGTTTTTTTGTGTCTTGACACTGTTGTCCGATAAGCACTTAGTTTACCATACAATTTATTCCACCATGGCTATAAATTAGTGTAAGGCAAGGTGGATTGATATCAATCCACCTTGGTATAAAGTCTGTGATTTAATGTAATATTATGATATATTATAATATATACTGTTCATCTATCACTTATAAGTACATTGTATCGTGTCACATGTTTTTGTTTCTGTAAATTAATAATGACTTTGACACGTATCTACTTTAACCACTGTTACTACTAGTTACTAGCTTGACACACATCACATTGTAATCCACCATTCACAACTAACGTAAAATGTAAATTTAAAAATAACCATATTTGTATATTTGTCCGTTTAATAAAATTTTAGATATATCACCAACACAGAGACAGTTTGACTAAAATCACAAAATAGAATATGCTGTTGTGCGGTACTGAGTACTCACCGATTGCTGGGTATCTCAAACATATTCCGTTGTACAGAGTAAATATCTGATGTTAAACACACGATGAGTGCTAATGTCGTTTTTCTTATTTCATTGAGTTGTTCTGTTCAACAAACAATATATTATAAAACAATAGGTAAGTATTTATGACCATACAATCATTTATTACACTAATTGTCATGTAATAGGATCGTAGTATAGGTTACCTATTTTAAAAGAACCAATCTGATTCCCGAATTCATAGTAATATCGATCGCCATACTTTAATCTGAAAAACATCTCCCCGACAACGCATTGGAACGTATGACCTAATACAGTTCCGGGTTTTGATTTTTCCAAGAGACCAGCCACGTAATAATCGATATCGTCCACGTGTTTGTACATTTTCGATAGGGCCTCGACATGCTTCGTCGGGTAGGATTTTCGATAAATAATAATTAATTCATTAATCGTTATGGGTTTCTACGCATTTATATTTGTAAATCCTTTGCAAAATATCTGTTGTTTTTACTTTTTTATCCATTTGATCGATCAGGCTGTCAAAGCTCTTGGCCTCGCTCAATCCGCAGAGTTGCCTAAATTTATTATAAGGTGGCTCTCCGTAATCTCTACCCCGCTCCATGTCTATGCTGACCAAGTCAACTCTTTGGTGTCTCTCCGGAATTCTGATTGCCGACTCACTTATCTAAACAAATAAGTTAGCATGGGAGATTTTAGTGGCTAGCCGTTCATACATAGGAACTATTTCAAGTTAAATCACAACGTTTTGAATGAAAACTAAATATTTTATATGGATACCTCTTCTGTAAAATATTGATCTACTTCTTGCACATGTTGAGTTAGCAACCCTCTGATGAAGCTATCATAATTATCTTGTCTTTGTACTATGTCGGGCTTAAAAAAGAAATCACCTATCCGTATTTTCGATTTTATTTTTCGGGCTTCATTCACCAAACTTTAATAAAACAAAAATTATGGAGTATGATATGTGCGATGGATTCGAAAACAGTACAAAATCGCTGTTTGTGTTATATTTTATATACCTACTCAATAAATCCAGGTATGGAGCTATGCATTGATCTGAATGCAGCGGCTGTAAAACTGGTTGTTGTAGTCGGATTTAAATATTGATCGTAACTATCGTCAAATCCATTAGTCATTGGTAGTAAATAGTTTTCTCTGGCGAAATCTCTTCCTGAGGAGATCAAAAATAATAATAATTTTAAATACATTGAATAAAGCAAAATATGCATATTTAATATTCTTTATATTTAATGACAGACAATAAGACTTTGATTGTAAATTGTTAAAATGAATTTGTATGTGCCAATCCTGCGTGCCTACTTTGTGTAGCAAAAATTATCCATTAAATAGACTCATGCACCATTTAAATATTGATATTTTTGTTGATTTTTTAATGTATACCATAGTAATATCTTAAATGTAAATTGAACCTCCCACAACATCAAGTATTTTATACATTTTTGTAATTTATCTCATCCATCTAAATTATAATAAATAAATAATTATTGTCATTAAACTCGTAGTATTTTGTTTTTGACCTATAAAATAATTAAAATACTTTATATCTATTATTAATAATTATTTACCAGGTCTGTGAATTGAATGCACCAAAAACATGAAAAATGCATTGACTTATGCATTTAAAAATAAGAACATTTTGCATCAATGATAGTATATAATGCATTAAAAATACCAAAATGTGTGAAATCGTGAAAATAAATTTCATATCTACAATTTTATACGAGTATATGACTAAGCATTCATAAAACCAAGTTTTTAAAATTTAAAAATTGTACAAAAACAAGTTCAAAACAATTCTGAAAAATAAATAGTTACTAGAAAATAACATTTCTAAAAAAGTTATTTGCTGAAAGAATTTATTCAACCATTCTATATCGATGAAGTACTAGGTAGGTACCTACATAGGTACCTATAGCATTTGGCCAAATAATAGTTTATTCCTAAATATCTAATGTAATACATACAGTTAAAGAGATATGTACTGAAACATATAATGGGTACTCTAATATAATATGCAAGAATAAAATACGATTTTTTATTTAGAATAATAATACATTGAATCTAACTTGAACAAAAATTATTAAATTCACTGATTATAATGTGACTCACCTAAAAGTATTGGAACAAATTCATTGTATGTAATGTGTTGGTGCATTGCAATGAGTATTCTCCTGGCTTCTTGGTATAATCGCTCATCATCCCAATTGGGGTTCAAGCAACTAAGCTCATCACATAAATAGTTGTGTAGTCTCAATAATGAAGTTGTTACAACTGCCATTTGTGGATGTATGTTGATTCTTGGGTCACCTGATAAACACAAATACACAATAATATATTATAATGTTAGATATTACTAAACAATGCTTAAATGAAAGGTTTCAAAACATTTAAATATATTAGGTAGTTATTGACCACAACTCTTCAATAACTACTGTGTTCATCGACATACATTTTTGACAGTGTCAGGGACGTTCACTAAAAAAATGAATTTGTTCAAGTTTACGTACACTAGATCGTTCATTTAGTTTTATTATTATTTTTGTAATATTAATTTTAATAAGCAAATATTATTAGATGTATAATATAATAAATCAATATATTTTAAACAAATATTTATTACATGGAAATACATTTAGATTTGAGAAATTAGAATTTGAAAAAAACAAACAAGTGAAGTACAAAATATGAACGTGTGCTCATGATCAACGTTCTTTCCAAACACTGAATATTACAAACAAACAATATCAAAACAACTTAAAATTTTATAAAACAAATTTTGCCCAAGTATCTTTAATATTTTTGAACTGCTATTGAAACAACTTATGAGGAACTTTGAATTAAATTTACAAACTTTTTTTATTTTAACCAAGTGAAAACATTTTATAAAAAAAAACACCACTGTAAAATCAATAACCTAACCTAACCTTTCGCTACCCTCAGAATCAAATAATATAAATACATACCTACAATGTACAATTATGAAGATAGAAATGTAATTTAATATATTGCACCGATAAATTTTAAATTTACTATAGGAAATGTGCATGACGTTGGTACGTCTTATAATATTAAATTATCATAGTATCGTTATATGGGTGTGGGTCGAATGTCTGCAAGTCACATATAGTTGAAAATAATGTGCTCGAAAGTTCATGTTTTCGAAAAATTATCTGTTCAAAAAGTTATTTATTCGAATAGATGGTTTTAATTTTTTAACTCTTATAAAACTAATGATAAATATGTACTGTACTGAACGTTCTAATTAATGAAGATACAATAAAATAATATTCAATTCTATTATTACTACAAGTACTACGAAAGTTAAAATGCATCATTATAAATGTATAAAATAAATGTAAGTATAAAAAAATGAAAATAAATATTTATAAAGTTGAATTATGTGCAATACTTTTAAAGAAAACTTATTTAATTTATCGTCATCGTAAATTATTTGTTGAATATATTTAAATTGAAGTATTTAAAATGTCAATGTTAATTTTTAAACAGATGTTCACCAAGTTTGTTTAATATAAATTGTTCATTTATAAAGAACTGTAAGTACTTAGAATAACTTTTACCGGGGAACTTGTTTTAAAACTACAAGAAATCATATCAAATAATAAGTATTGTAATTGTTTTTATTTCCATATTATTATAATATTACCTGAAAGGTAGCACACTGTGGTGTCTTGAGTAACGTTGCAAAGTTCTGTTGGTTTTTTTAGATTGGGTAAGAACGGTTTTCCATTTGGTCCCAATTGCCGTCTGAGTTTTCCATATTTGAATGTTCTTATAGAACGCGATGTTGCATAGTCTGTGCCATATAATACCGATGCGTCGATATAACTGGAGACTCCGAGTATCTGAAACAAACGTGAAAACAGAAATCAACAAATGATTGCAATTTATTTTTTGTCTATTTATTCCATATTATTATTATGCAACTGATAAAAACGAGAATTCTATGCTCTAATCGAATGTACCTATAATATGTAAAGATTAGGATCACTTACTTGTCTGACCGGTTTAATGCTACAACCCTTATCCGATGTGTCAAGTGATCTGGGGATGGATAAGCAACGGTTTTTTGATTCAGGTTCATCATATGTGGTTCTAATCTGAAGACATTCTTTTGGTATAACTTCCGGCGCTGAACCATCATCATTGCAACACTTCACTGGACCATAAGGTCCTTTTATACATTTATGTGGTTAAGATTTAATAAATTTAAAATGAGTTTGGAATTATTGTATTAATAATTAATTGCAATTATTCATCATTAATCTTGTATTTTGGGTAGGTAATACAAACATAATTTCTCTGATAAGTTTTGTAAGATTTAAGACTGATGAGACGATTATTTTTTGTTTAAATCACACATTATATTTGTAATTAATATTGATTATTCCCTGTTTTAATCAATAATACACTTATTAAAACCTACAACACGGTATATACTATGTATTTGGCAAAAGATACAGACGTATATTATTAATTAAATAATGTTTATATTATTATTGTTAGTAAACCGATTTTTGGCATACAAATCTTACTATGAAGTTTTCTATTTTAACTTATTATACATACAATTTAAATCTGATAGAAATTATATTTTAGTTAGAACGTATTTTGAAATTTTAAATGGTAATAACTAATAACTAATAGACAACAAGAAATTAATGAAATTTCAAAAAATCGAAAAGTTTATTTTTGTTCTCTATTATAATTATACAATATCCTATATCAGGGATGGCCAACCTTTTGAACACTGCGTGCCCAAAATTACCTTTTTTTTTTAGAGCGTGCCATGAAAAAAATATTCAAAATATTATATTTTCTTATACTATAATTTTATTGTATAAATAATGTATTAGTATAAAAAGGTTAGTTTAGGTTATTATAGGTCCTATAATTATATATATAGTAGTAAAAATTTTCGAGTGCCCACAAAATCTTTTTACGTGCCACCTGGGGCACGCGTGCCATCCCCGTCCTATACAGGATTATAAAGATAATTATAGGTACCTATAGGTACTTTATAAATAGTATTGTAGGTATTTTTCACTTTATTTAAGTAATTTATCACAGATTGTACAATTCAACTTGTTAATTTAAATATTATAGGATTATATATTTTTTTCTACAACATTTTCAACACTTTAAAAATATCCATTAAGTTTTGAATAACTGTATTGGCCCTGAGTTATAACTATCACCGTTTGTATCGATTATTTGAAATAGATAAGTATGAAACATTTTTCATACTATATTTTTCAAATAATATTACATTCCGCATGATAAAAATTTTTGTTTTTTTCTCACCTTTTTCTTTGATTAATGTACTTGCTGTATCGTGTGTAACGATTTGAGCATATTGCATGACAAATAAATTATGTGTGTGTGAAGATTTGTCAATGTCTTTAAATATTGTTTTACGTATTTTTCGGACTTCTGGCAAGTCGTGACCAGATACTGATTTTCTTGGCTGTGAATAACCTGATATTAAATAATTTCATTATAATAATATAGTAACAATTTAAAATAATATTTTGTTATATTCAATAAAATATATACCATCCGAATAATTAGCTTGAATAATTCGTGTGTTGGCTGTGTTAGTTTGTCCCCAAGTCGGGTATAGTAAATTATTACAACTACCATCTATGGTTCTGTACTTGCTAAAAAAATCACACTGAGGCCTAGGAAAACATTGATCGGCTAGACTGATTTCTTGTGGCTGCAGAAATCCAATTGACTTTGAAGGATTCAAAGACCTATATAGTAATAATATTACAACATTATACTAATAAATTATATGGCATGTTTAATGATATTTAATAATATAAATAATAATTGAACTAGTAGCACAACATATAATTATATTATAACTGAATGAATAAGTATGTAGGTATTGATATAATGATTATTTTATTTATATTTTGATTTACGGTATCTTAGAAGGATATGAATCTAATACTGGCTCATCGCTAACTGGAAAATCGTGTGTATCTTCACCTAGGATATTGATGGTTTGTACTATTCCATGTCTGGCACGTTTTCTTGGCGTACCGTAAGTATCTGCAGCGTGAGAAAGCAATCGTATATTATTTTAATATATATTATTAATATCAACAAATTGTACATGGAACGATTTATTTACATGCGTTGGGTTCGTTGTTTTCATTTTGAGAATTGCCACAGTCACACGATAAGCTGACAAGTAGGACTAAAAAAAATGTAACTTTTTCCATTGTTGAACTCAAAGAAATAAAGCGACGACTGTGTCTGATATTAGCTTTATACGTTTATATTTCCATAGTCCTATTTAGCTATGTATCAGTTTGTCTGTTGTATAATATGTTCATATAATTTACCATCATGTTACAATACCATAAAATTAAAATGTTAGTAAACAATACAATTGTTCATTGCAATTTTATTTAAATCAACCAAACTACTGTCTCCGCGGTCTTTATTTCTAATTGCATTGAACATAGAAGTGCATAACTATTATGATTGTAGAGACTAGTCTATAAGTAGATAATCAACAATTCTAATGTTAATATTACTTTCCTGCTTGTCTGTTTTTTATTTATGTTGTCAAAATTCACGATGCATATCATGCGTACCTTGCATTTGCCAGTCTAGAATAAGTAAGGTAGGTTAGGTTCGGTGACCTACTTATTTGTAATCTGAATGACCGAAAAACTAAATTAATTTTAAAACATTCAATTTTATTTTCGTCTTTTGGTCCATACTTGTTTAGAAATGTTTTGTCAAAATTCATAAGTGTCTCTGAGTAGATATTCCGCTTATCCCATGAGACTATTCATGCAAACGCCAGTTAATAATAACTATTATGAAAACAACAATTTTTTACCAAAAGAAACGTATATAGGTTATTACCAAATTTAATTTAAAATTGCACTTAGTTCCTCGTCATTCAATCACTGTACTCTATTGTATATTATACTTTGTATTAATAGAAAATATTAATTTATGTGGTGTCAAAAAGTTTCAAGTCATACAGTTGAAATTTTCTAATAATTTAGTACTTAAATTAAATCTTTAGAATTTGATGGCTTAATTATCTAAATTCAAAAAAATTAAAAATTAAAAAGTAAAATGTCTATTAAAAAAACATTGAATAATAATATGTATTTTTATATTTTTAAAATGATGTAAAACCAGCTCTTAAGAACCTTATATAATCTTCTCGCCGAGAACAAAATGTGTAACAAGCATTTATAGAAAAAAAACTAAAAATATTCGACTAATTCAAATTTCTAAAAATAATTTAAAATCGTCAAGATGTTTTGAAAATTGTATTGTAATTAAAATCAAAATTGTTAAGCCGCTAATACAAAAAAATACAAAAAAACAAATAATAAAATATTTAAATATACGGTTTAATAAATATTATTAAATTTAATAGAAAATCACAAATTGTGTAAACAATTATTATTGAATGATTCATGACGTGTCTAAAACTGACGAATACTGTCAAATTAACAAAAATGGTTTGAGGAAAAATCTTAATTCTACTCCCGACTATTCATTGTTGTAAAAATTGTTACTTCAAATACTCATTAAAAAAAATATCTCTTTTTACACTTGACTTACTTTGAATTTCAGTAATTTTTCAAACGAAAATTGAACTAACATAAATTATTAAACAAATGTTAAGTAACACCAAGAAGACAAATAGTTTTAAAATTTTACAATTTAAATAAATGCTAATAGAAATATTCAATGAATATTTTAGGTACCTACTACCTACCTACTAATGTATGGTTATTTCGTTTTGTAAAAAAAAAATAGTTTAGAGTAAATATTCCAATTTTAAAATGTTAAATGTTATATTGATTTATTATTTTGTGGTATCAGTGTTTTCAAAAGTATAATTTTTTAGTGATTATCAAGTAACAACTAATGAGTACTTACCGACGATTTATCTTTTTAAAAGTCAAGTAAATACGTTTTATTTTTTTTTTTTTAGAAAGGAACCCGTGGCAACATACTTTTAGGGCAGAGGGTTCTTTTCAGTAGGTTTCTATGTTGGTAGGGTTTGTGTATGTGTGGCGATTGCTAAAAACTTGAGTGGTTACCAATCTGGTAGCTAGCAAAGCCAGCCGGTACTTACACCCAAAGTGTTGAAACATTATTTTTTTTTAGAAATAATTATAAGTTTCTATTGTATATTAATTGTTTATACATTAACTGTTAATATTATGCTAACTAAATTCTTATTTATAAAATAATTAGGATCATAAATTAGTGACATGTGCATTCCGAGTGACTTAAATCGCCAATTAATTCGTAAATTACTTATAAAAATGCGTTTGGCTTTTGCTTATCGTTCCTCGAGTAGGTTTAATTAATAATGATAATATATTTACATAAATTATGAAAATCCTGGACGGAACGCATAAGTCCCCCAAGTCACCTGTTGCTTATATTATAGGTGAATAATATTGTATAATATAGACGGTTGTAAACTATTAAACTCTGATTAAATATGACCATGCGGCATGCAGGTATGGAACTGGGACATAATTATAATATTATACTGTCAATTTAAATACAAATATATCCATAAACACACATAATATACAATTTATCTTCCACAAATTAAGTTTACTGCAATTATTATTGTGCTTATGACAAATAAGCTTTTTAAATATCGCAATAATTATTATATAATTAGTATTTTATTGTAATTTGTAATCATATTATATCATTATTGGTTCATATCTTGGTTTTTTCGGAATTAATTAAAGGTAAATTATTAGGCATTTTCTTATCTCTTCTGTTAAAACTAAAGAGATAAAAAATAATGTTACAATCGTTCAGATTATAGTATCAATTTTACATTTGATCAACATTTGTTGAAAAAGTATAAAATATATCTCAATCCATTTTTATGTTTTTGTGCTTAACATTTTTTTGTTCATACTTTTTTTTATTAAATAATGGCACTATATATTTAATTAAATCCACTGGTAATATCAATTTAGTAAAGAAGTAGGCGTCAATCTTTCATTGGCTATGATAAAATATAAAACAACAAATATTATAAAGAAATAAGATCGTAAAATATATTATTAAAATAATTTGTACCTATATCCATAAGTTTTATTGTGAAATTGACGATTGAATAAACATTGAGGATATTAATTTTTAATTTTTTAATTTTATTAATTGTTTATGGCATCAACTACGTGGTTACTAGCCAGGGGTTTTTGGGACTGTTGGGTTACTGTAGGGTTATTGTAGGGTTATAGAACACGCGTGTGATTGTTTGGTAGAATTTATAGTGGACACCCGTAGGTTTCTGCCATGCCCGGTTGGGGGATGGCGGCCTCTCTCTCCAGACACCGTGACTGCCCGGAAAAAAGTGCCGCCCGTGACCGAGGTTCGAACTGGCGACGGTGCGCGTTGCGACCGACGCGTTATCCACTCGGCCACTCCGTCCCCCGATATTAAATTTACCAGGCAATAATAGGCAGTCTTAATCTATTGGTCGTTATTAATTATAAATTATAATTAATTATTATTTACAGGTATCAATTTCACTCTTGGTTGATGATTTTTTAAATTTTGTATAGGAACAATGTTCAGTAAAAGAAAATAGATTAAATCATTGTGTTGAAATACAACCATATTTACATGTACCTATAGGTAAGATTATCAGTTTAATTTATAACTCCAGAAGACCAGAAATAAAGTTTTCGACGTCTATTTAAATTTGTTTTTTTTTTCTAAAAGTGTAACCTTTATTTAAAACCGCACAATTATTTCTTCATAGATGTTTTATTTTAATTACATTTCACATACTGTATTAAGTTGTCTTTAAAACAGTTTTTCTATTTTGTTTTTAATTACAACCTGTGGATATTAATTATGTAACTACACCCAAAAATAAATCACAATATAATAGTTCATACCATGGATTATAATAATTAAATAATAAATACGTAGACAAAATTTATAAATAAATGTGTATTGCATTCAAAAACAAGTGGTTAAAATTTAAATTAGAACTAAGCTCGGAAATAGTTAGTCATTACATAATATGTATAGTGTACTTGTATTATTAATTGAAGAAAAAAATTATGGAGAGTATGTTACTGTGAAAAAAAAGAGTTCTAAATAACAATTCACCATAAAAACAAACACCATGTGTGCACTAATTGTTTTAAGTACTTACTTATAAACTTTTTTTGTAGGTAATAAATTGCTAAAAATAATACATATTATTTTGGTTTTATAATGGTTTGAGAGAGATATTATTTTTATATAACAATGTAGGAACTGTATACTGTATAGGTATATACTTGTTATTGTAATATTGCTTCATTGGTTTCAAAAACGTTTAACTATATATAATGTGTTAATTCAATACTCCGCCAAGTAAGAAAAAATAATGGTAGAAAAAAAAATGAGGAGATTTTGAGTTTTCGCATGTAATTTGAAATATAAATAAAAATCAAAAGATTACGCATTTAGTTGCCACCGAGTTACTGACACTATCGAACATTGAAAAAGGGTTATTCTTTTCGTATTACATAAGATTAATGGTAAAATATTTTGATATACAATATAAAATCTAATAAAATCATGTTATATAATAATTGTTATTATAATAAGTAGTCACTTACTTAAATTAATCGTTTTAAGCATATTTTTGATTTACCAGTCATATTTTGTTTTAGTAAAAAACTATAAAGTATTTAAAAATACTATGCTTCAATCTGACTAGTTTTTAAGCTATATAAACATTTCAAAGTACATTGTATAAACTTTTTAAACTGATATTAAACAGTAATAAATATTTATAATTTAATGGATCATTATTTATGAGGGGTGTCAAAATTAATAAGTGTACGTTTTTGAACGACCTAAAACAATATTTTCAAATATAAAGAATCGTGTGTATTTGAAAAACGAATTTAACTATTAACCCTCAAAAATGTATCAACTGTTATCATCAAATTGTGACCGACGGCCTGAAGTGAATTAAGTACCAACAACTGGCCTTTATCGATCTGTTCATCAGAAGCGTATAATCCGAGTATCACCTTCGGTCGAGCAATGACTTCTGATGTAAACATCGACGTCATTTGAGTCAGCGCTTTGGTGTCCATCTGTAACTTTGAAATATGAGCAAATAAAATGTTTGCGTATAAATTAAACTTTGACCGTATATCACGAAGCTTACAGAAAATCGCGTGCCACAAAACACCACAGCATTGTCATCTGTACCAATTAATGTATACGTCGGTCCACAGTCGATAATCTGAGAAGCATTAAAATGTTATTTTAATTTAATTTTAATGCACTTATTGTTGATCGATGTATTTTAAAAAATTGATTCGAATGCAGTAATTAAGTACCTGTGCTTTGCTGTAACCGGGCAACTGGAGCAGATTAGGTTTGTTTTGAGAAACATGCAATTTCCCCCGTTGGGAGTAAATGTTACTTCCCCAAATGACAACGTGACCCTGTGCAGTTATAGCGGCACTGTGACACTCGCCAAAACACACATAAGTCACTCGTAATCCATCTAAGAATTTTACTTTGGTAAATAAACTCTCGAACGGCACTTCTTTGAACTGAAAATCAAATTAAACTAAACAATTATAAAGTTCAATATAGGTATTTGAAATTTGAATAATACACTTAAAATATGTTTTGTGAAATCAGGAAACCGTAAATTATATAATATTATAAACATAAACTAAAAATGTCAACATTAAGTTTATTTCTTAACCACTACAATACCAAATTAAATCAAGCGTTACCGTTTATATTCATACTGTCGATGGTATGTGTTCTATTCAATGGGGACAATAATCACTATAAATGTCGAATGTCGATAAAAGGCAAAAATGATTTATTGCATAATAATGTGTAAAATATTATTATTACTTTGAGTTTGAATAAAGACGGTCTGTTCAGACCGAGTTTGTTGCATTTATTCAGTCCACAAGCATACACGTTTTGACAGTCGGTTATTATAGCCGTACACTCGGGACCGCATTGGATAGAACCGATTTTTTCGTCGAGATGCCAATTGACCAAAATCGGAAAACAGCTAAGCACAAAATGTAATGGAAATATTAATGGATGGCGTTGGAGACAGATTACACTTCGTACTTACCAGTCTTGTAAATTTCCCAGGCCCAGTTGCCCGTGATTTCCACGACCCCAAGTGTAAAGTTGACCTTCGTTCGTCAATGCCGCGATGTGATGGTTGCCGCAAGAAATTTTCACCACGTCCACTTTTAGTAAAAAGTCTAACGGGCAGAACGAATTTTGATTGGTATAATGGTTTATCGGTACTACTGTTTGTTTTTTTTTTGTTGGTTTTTTATTATAAAGTTAATATTATACTTGATGCCATGACGCAATCGTCACCTACCTATGAGTTTTGGTCTTGAAACGCTATTCCAATCGCCGTGGCCAAGAGCCCCATATTTACCGTCACCGGTGGTCATCACGAGACCTGTGCTGCTAACGAAGACACTAAAGTTTTGCCCTGCTCCGACTCTATTGAAATTAAATACAACGATACGTGATTTATATTGTTTTGGGAGGTTTTTGTTTTGTTCGATTATAATTTGTTGTATCGACTAACTGGGTTATGTGCTTGTCCAATAACGATACTACGCATTGTGGATCGTTTTTCCACGGAGTTTCTTCGCCGTGACCCAACTGACCATGTTTGTCTTCACCCCAAGTGAAAATCGAGTAATCTACCAACAGAATATATTATTTTGTACTAATCACATTATAATATTGTAAACCAGTATATTATGTATTAAATGTACTAAAATATTTTTAAAAAAATGATTATAATGTTGTTATAAAATATTATATTGTGTTATGGTTTACCACTAGTAAGAGCGACGAAATGCGTCTGACTCACTGCAAGCTGTACTATTTGGACACTAAATGGTAATTGAACAGGCGTCAAATTTGTCGGAGATGAAAATTGATATACCACGGATCTGTTGTACAATAAAACATTTTTTTAAGGAAAAAAACTGGATATATAGAGGTATACAGTAAAACCTTCTTACGATGGACCACTATTATAGTGTTTTATATAAGACAGATATCTCTTTACAACGGATAAACAACAGTTTCACATACCTATGTCTCGTATATTTAAGTCTCCCTATAATATAAGGGAAACTCCTGTATAACGGGAAAATCAGTTAATTATGTTACACATCGATTTAGTTATAAGCAGGGCTTCAAAACGTTTTCATAACGTTACGAGTATAACGTTAAACGATTCAAAAAACGATTGAAATCGATAACGGATAACATATCGGTAAACGACAAACGATTGAAACGAATAACGGATAACAAATCGGTAAACGATAAACGATTGAAACGGATAACGGATAACGGAACAGAAACGATAAACGATTAAAATTAATATCGAATAACGCAACAAAAAACGATTAACGATTAAAAGTTGAATCATAACAAACATGTCAGACAACAAAGGAAATTACGAAAATATTAAAAACTATCTATAGAATATAATAAGAATTTAGTTTTGTAGAACTGTTGCTTGATAGGACTATAATAATAAAGTGACTTTAATATTAGGTACTAATCAAAATTAATTAAATGTACATAGAACTATGAAAGTTTAAAATAGCCATAAACATTTCAAAGAAATAATATGCATTATCAATTATATTTAGGCTTTCTTACAAAAGTAGAAAATATTTATAAATAATATCTGGATAAATAGTATTAAACCCGTTCAACGGATTCTACATTTCTTAGTAATGTATTTATAAAAAGTAACAATAATGATAATAATTATGGTACCAATATTATTGTTATTACTTATTGTTACTTTTTATAAATAACGTTTATTACCTAATTAATAATAGGTACCTATAGAAAACTTCGTTATTTTGAGAAAAACATAAATCCCGACGCGAAGAATAAACAAAAATAAAAACCAATAATGTCCTCGGAAATTAGATTCTTAAGACAGCAAGTTATATGCAAATGCAATGCATATCAAGTACAAATACTACAAACTGAGGTAACTACCATCATAGTATCACGGTGATTAAGTATTAACCGGAGATGGTAATGCCATAGAACAATATAGAAGCGAAACTCGATCAGCTGATTGGGTCTTGGTTCTCAACGATCTGAAGTCTGAACCTCCGAAAAACAAAGAAATGGTTCGGTGCACTAACATAATGTTAGACCCAAAGGTTACCAATATAATGAAAATGGTTCCAAGTCGATGGTGGGGTATTCTGCGCGGGGTCAGCTTGTTTACCATTCCCAAATCTTAAGATAATTTTTGTTCTGTATTTGTTCATTGAAATGTTCTCAAGGTCTTTGTCAATGCTCATATCAAATGGGTACCTAGTAGGGACTAGGGAGATCATAAGATCTATTCATATTTGTATATTGTATTTATAATACATCACACTATATGCATAATGATACTACTCCCCTTCTGGCCCTTCTCAAAGAGGAGACATGTGCGGTCCTGAAGTGGGACCTAGTTGGAAATTGGATGACACAATCGAACAAGAAAGTGTAGAACACTAGAACCACACAATTTTTGTTTTGCACTTTTTTATGAATCAAACTGAATTCTATTTGAGTCATAGTCAACCGTGTGACTCCACTTAAGATTTAAGAAGTTATTTTTATCTTATTAAAATTCTTTCTTTGGTACTTTTATAGTTTTATGTTATGACTTATGAATTTTAATTTATAATCACAAATACTTATTAGTTATTATAATATATCACTTATGAATTTATGATGTGTTGTGTCATCGTGTACCTATCTTGCAATTTAATATTTATATATATATTTCATTATACCTAAATTATAAAATATAAATTTGAAGTAACTAGTAAGTTACTAGTAGTAACAAACAAAAGTAATGAGTAAGTTATAATTTATAAGTTATAACTAGAATTATATAACCCTCCCCAATTTTTCAAGAGTCAAGACTAGTGTTTCATAAAGTTTAAACGTTATAAATAATTAATATTTAAAACGTTTAAACGTTAAACGGAACATTTTATAAACGTTTAAATTCTTTATAACGTTAAACGATAAATCGATCATAACGTTTAATATCATATAACGTTAAAAGCAAAATCGATCATAACGTTTAATATCATATAACGTTAAACAGTAATTTGGTCATAACGTTTGATATCCATATAACGGTAAACGGTATTATTTGTTTTTGATTTAAGCCCTGGTTATAAGGTGGTTTTACTGTACAATGTATATTATGTACATCGTATATACGAGTATATTATATTAAAAAAACCCAATAAATATTGACTCTGTAATGTACAGTAACCTGTTTAGTAAATCGTCGTTACTCGACTCGAGTTCACTGCTTTCTTGAACCCAATTAGAATCGGTTACAAAATCAATGAAATCGGGAATTGTTTCGACTAAATAATTGGCATTGGGTCTTCGGAGCGGATCTTTTTGAAGTAAATCGTTCACTAGTTTTTTTAAATTTAATGAATAACACAATGGTATTGGTGCAAAATTTTCCTAAACAAATTAAAAAATATAATATATTATTCTATGTAAAAAATATTTTATAATTAGTGTACTTTTGTTATAAAATGAATAAGTGCTGGTAGATTTGAAGCATCAAAAGTACGCTGAAGACTCGCCATCTCGTACAATATACAACCCAATGCCCAAATATCGGATTTCTGATCATATTGTTTACCTTCGCACTAATAAATTAATAAAGTGTAGTTTTTAAAAATATTTAAAATGGATACCTTTTTGAAATGATACAGTTACTTACCATTTCCGGACTTATGTAATATGGTGTTCCAACCACAGTTAATGCTTGTAACTTTGTAGTCATTATTTTTGATATACCGAAATCTCCTAACTTTATTTGACGTTTTTTTGTCAGAAAAACATTTGTTGTCTTTAAGTCTCTGATAAAAAAACAATATTTTTCAAACAAATATAAATATAAATTATTTTTTTATTTTTTTTTAAATTAACTAAACATCTATAAAATACACATACAATTAATTTGAACTATCATAATATCTTTCAATATACGTCTTGCAATGGTATAACATTTTTACTTTTAAAAATATATTTAATTAATAGAATTTCACCTGTGTAAAATATTACGCTGATGAATGCATTGAATCGCTTCAGACATTTGTAAGAACATTTCTAAAATTTGTCTTTCGGGTAATAAATTGGTACTACGACCGATCAAATACTCTGCTAGAGTTCCACCATCTGCATATTCCATTTCTATCATGAGAACACCGTCCATTTCAAAACTACCATAGTAACTATTGTAATCGAAAAACAATTACAATACAAACTTCTAATTTAAAAAAAACGAATATCGTGATTTTCAAAATATGTACTACCTTATTATATACGGATGGCTGAGCAACGATAAGACTTTAGCTTCGTTCAAAGCAAGCTGTCTCTCTTGTGCAGTCATATCTAGCATGTTTATCTGCTTGATCACTACTAAATTATTTTTATTTGTGTTGCGGTACAAAGTCGCCACCCCAAATGCTCCTATAGGAGTTTATGTATCAAATACAATTACTATAATCGGAGCTCGAATAAATGTGATATTAGCTAACATGTATATGTATATGTATATTAAATTATTATGACATAGTCAAAGGTTTTCCGGCTCACCTTTCCCTACCGTTCGAATTCGCTGATACCCATCTAAAGCAGTCTTGGTAGGTCGTATATCGGCTGAACTAAAATATAATTCACCATTATATTCTTCTCCCATTAGATCGGGCCATATGCCAACGTCACACTGAAATGTTTCCATTCAGAATACGCCATGAGATAAACAACGATAGGCGCAAAAGAAAAATACCTGAGTCAAATGACGCAGGGCTAAGCACAGTTGGTATTTGACACAACTCGAAGCTAAACGACTGTTGAAAAAGTCCAGTCTCGAGGATCCACGATGGCAATAATCTGACAACGACTTCAGAAAATAATTTATATCTGGATCGTCAATTAAACTTTCACCATTCAGAACCTATAGTCGTTCACAGACCAGATAAAATGTTTAATTGTTAGTGTATTTTAAGCAGTTTGGTTTTATAAATATAATATTTCAATATGTTGCATGACGAAGAAATAGGAAGATTTGGTATAAAATAGGTATATTAAAATATATTATTATAATAATTTTAATATATTTTATACTCAGTATAAAAATATGAAATAATATTCCAGATATCTTTTATTCTGTCAAAACAATTAAGAATTTCGTGATTCAAAATGTTGTCTTCAAATTTTACTTGCGTGAGTATCTTTTCTGTGTTTAATTACGTTCACTCGAAGTCTCAAAGAAACAGATTAACCGTGGAAAATTAGGCGGCAAGCATTACCATGCAATCAACTACATATCTGCAGCCAGGCATTAAAAATGTATCGAGTACAAAACTATAAAGAAAAAGGGTTTCTAACAAGCTATAAAAGTTTTTTTTAATAATTTCTTTCCACATTATTATCATTATATCATTAATTTTACATTTAGATTTTGAAACAAATTATCTGTGTTAATAAATAAAAATAATAATAATAATAATAATAATAATGTTAATAAAATTATCTTATAAAATAACTGAAAAAAATAAGTTATGCATTTTTTTTTAAACTGTATAATAAATTGGAACATTGAACATAATATTGAATTTGTCATCCCCTCCGAATAATCCATTATTAAAGCTAGTAAAGCTCAAAAATTCTTGATAATATTGTATAAGCTAATTTGTATTTATTTTTTATTATTAGTAGCGAAATCATGCAAGTTGCATACTTTTTCGTTTGTAGAACAAATATAGAATTGTGTTTCGTCTGAATGCACGAGAATAGCAATACTTTTCACTTTTCGATGTTGCATTTTGTCGTCTACTTTTGCTGTGAAAAAAAAACAAATTCTGTACAATAGTTACTGTATGATGATTTATAATCCATCGATAAGTGCATAATGTAATTTCTATAATACGTTAGATTTGAAAATAATCTTCAGGAAATCATATCTACACTTAAAAAGTGCATAGGTCCGTAAAACTAATATATTAACATCTACGTACAGATAATGTCATCCAGCGACGACGTATCGTAGTTATACCTCACAACAAACACACCGGGCAAGGTATTTTTCACTGCAGTCGTGAATTCCGGTGCTCGGTTGGAAACTATCAACAAGCGATTGGATTTAACACCGTAATATAGATTATAGTCCATAGTTGCGATAATATTTTAATATTATTTTCGCCCAAGTAGGTACACGCGTTAAGCCAAAACTGTTATAAGGGTAAAAATGATACCGACTGACTGAACGGTGTTTTTGAACCCTTGGGGTTTATATATATCATATATACGATCTTATTGTATGTTGCCGTAAACGTTACTAAGGTAACTGATTGAAAATATAATAATAATAACACGCACGACCCTTGCTGGGGCTTGAAACCTTTTTGAACGGTGTCCTAAATTAAAAAAAAAAAATAAACAATAATGGAAAAAAACGGACAGGTCATCGCGCGGTAATTGTAAAATATCGATTAGGTTTACGTTAGTCATGTCACCGATTCCGGTTAAACTGGGTTCATAGGTATTATATAGGTATACACTTCCGACATGGGCGTGATTGAGTCGATAGTAATAATATCGAAGAACCATTATTATTATCTCAACCGGCAGAATTTGATTTAGGTGAGATTGGAGGTGAGCGATGACCTACGTATAGTTATTATATGCCAATAACAATATTTCTAGAGGAACGTTTTCGGGAACAGTGGATATTTTGTTTACATCTACCGGAGAAACTATATTTTATTTTAAACCGATTCAAAATCACATCACAAATTAATAAACCACAATTATTTACACTGTTCATTAATATAATTATTTGTAATGTATAACTTAAAAACTATATTTTGGAATCACTAAATATATAAAATATATTTTTTGTTCAAATACAATTAAAGAGTTTATAGCCGTGAATACAATAAATTATGTTTTGAAATAATGAACGAGATTATAATATATAAAAGTTTTAATTTTACCTAAAAGTGTACAGGGTTGTGATTCTAGGATCTAGGGAATTTGCAAATCACTACAACACTATACCTTCGTTATATTGAAAGGGTTAATTTAAAAAAAACAATGTTTGAAGAAAATACATTTTGAATATTTAATTTTTACACGTATCGGACAAATAACAGTTATTTAATCATTTAAATAAGTTACTTATTTGTCACGCATTTAGATTCATATAGTTCTAATAAAATTAGCAGGATATTCAGCATCTTCAACATTTTTAACGTATGATACCATACTTTTTTTTGCACAAGCTTATTTAGGCGGGATAGAAAGTTTCAAAATTGAATTAAAAATATTAAAAGAGTTCATGAACCGTTATAAAACAAAAAATAGTTTAAAAATTAAAAAAAATGTTACTATTCTAATTTAACTTTCTTAAAGAATATGAAATAGCATTTTCACAAACATAGAAATTATGCACTATTGCTATAACAATATTATAACAATTATACCCGTGTCATCAGTTGCACGTGAACTTACATTTCCATGTATGAAACTTGCTAAGAGTCAGTGGCGTAGACAGGATTTTTTTCGGGGGGGGGGGGGGNGTTGCAGCCCCCTCAGCCTCCCCCCTGGCTACGCCACTGCTAAGAGTTATTTAAGAAATAGTTTACTAGACGATAACCTTACGAGTGTAAGCATCATAGGTATCAATTGAAAAACGTGAAGGAAAATCAGTTAATATTGATAGAATAATAATCAAGTTTGCCGATGCACATGAAAATTACAGAATTGTTTTAAAGTACTTTTGTCATAGGGATTTTAACTTGTAATCATTTAGAATTTTAAAACAGTAATTAGCATATATTAACTGTTTTTTTTTTTATTTATTTATTTTTTGCTGAACTCGATTTTTTTGTAGCTTTACCTTATAAACATAATAATTACGGCCCTTCTAGCCTAACAGCTAAATATTGTAATGGAAGTAAAAAGTGTTCAGTTGCGTCTGACACAACCAATTTAATATAAAATCACAAAAATTTACTGATTTGTTGGTAAGTACCACCTTCGTATTATTAAATAATTTATAGTGACACAATTAATACAAAAATAAGAACAATAGAAAAAAAAACATTAATGACCTAATATGGTGTGTGTGTATGTGTGTGTGTGTGTGTAGATCAGGGGCGGCTATGGCAAACACTTATATATATATACATATTTAGTGGTGCCAACTTTGCTGCTGTAACAATATTAGCTATTAGTTTAGTTTAATACTTGTTACGAGAGTGCTTATTATCCAAAATATGAATTAAATTTTATATTTTTTTAAATTGTCATGTTGAAAGAGTAGATTAAAATAGGTTGTCCAGCTCCGGTAAAAGGGCAAGACAGAAAGGCCCAAAAGGGCAGCTATCCGGGGCCTAACGCCTCTCGGGGGATTAATGATGATGAACTTCTTCAATTTTGAAATACAAACAAATATCAAAAATCGATTAATTTTAATTTTTTTATTAACTGTTAATTATTAAATACCATGAATATTTTAAATTAGAATAATCATAAAAAATTAATATTAATTTCTGGTCAATTTTTCTTTTTTTCAAGAAAAACTTGAGTTGAATCGTCTATTAAATTGTTTAATGAAATTATTTAGAATTTTTAACTTAAAAATAATTTTCAAATGTTCACAATTTTGATGAATTTTAGATGATAGACGGAAAAAACACACACTTTATTGTAAATACCATACATAATGCTTAAAAAAAATTGTTTTTTTCATAAGTCTGTCTGCCTTAACTCTTTTTTGTATTTTACATATAATAAGCATCGGTAAGTGATGACTGTATGTAAAACTACTGCATTTTTGAGTAAAATATATATTAACATAAAAACAACGAAAAATCTTTGCCTGGGCAACGCCGGCCGGGGATTTCATCTATTATTATATGTACATAACTACACATTAACATAACTTTTGTTACAGTAATAATATAATTGTGTTTCTTGAAAATATTGGTTTTCGATAGTTTTGTTAAAAATGTCAAAAGCGTTTTTGATTTGTATGACTTTTGGTATTATTGGAGTAACAGGAAACAGACGAAAAACTGAAGACAATTACGAGCAGAAGTTAATGATAGATGACTCGGAGGTAAGCAAAATATTATAAATATATTATACTATAATGTAACAGCTTGGCGTATTTTACCTCCTTCGCACAAGTTTGAAATGAAAAACGGGTAGAACGCATATATTTAGAAAGTTAGTGTTTTGTATACTTAAATTATATTGAGTATCTACTTATTATTTTTTAATTTAAAATGTATTCGTATTAGGTACACTCGCATTACTGAGAACTAAAATGGAGGCCATGACATGTAATGTTATAATATATTAGCCTACCTATGATATTGTATTAAGCATTATTTTTTCATTTAACGTTTGTTTAGGAAGCAGATCAAAGACCCGGGTCTCTATCCGATTGGAACAACCTAGCACGACTTCATTTAACGTTTGTTTAGGAAACTGAACGAAGACTCGGATTTCAATCAGAATGGATCAACTGACTACGCAATTCCATCGAGTGCATTGCCACCAATCGCCACCGCGGTGTACCACGCATCGATTTCACCGTCAACATCAGTAAACTATCCACCGATGCTACCACCAACACTGGTACCTACACTCATTACCAATGCCGCCACCTAAACCTCCACCACCATCGGTAACCACATGTTTTTGGTTACCACTGCCACCTCCACCGTCCAAAATAATGAGGTCCTACACACCAGCGTTTCGGAATGAGAGACAGGAAACTGTAGAAGGGTCCTCTCTTGTGTCCGGGCCTGATAAAATGGTGCCCATTACTTACGGTCTGATACCTATAACGACTGAACTATTTAAGTCCGTCGTTCTGAAGCTGCTGGGCCAGATGATGGCCTGGAAACTGATCCTCTATGACGTACGATGCTCAAATATTATTGCAAAAGATCTCGGATTGAGCGATTCCCAAAATATTCCAAACTAGGTTATCCAATTTTTGCACTGTTACCATCATATTTTCATTTAGTTCATATTTGAGCTTGGTTAAATCGTTTATATTTCTACGGTAGGGCGTGCGACCGTACCTACTTGATTTTCGCCTCTCTATCAGGCCCGGCTACCAGAGAGGACCCTTCATTCCGAAATGCCGAGTGTTAGATCTCATCATTGGAAGTGATAAAAGTAGTGGTGGTAACCCGAAACCTGTGGTTACTGTGGGAGGTGGACGCGATGGCCTTTAAACTGAGTGCACCTTATCAGCGTAAATGCCGAGCAGGGTTGTGTGATTGGTTATTTGCAATGTATTCTGTGGCATTGCATGTTCGGTTGGTTTTGATCTAGAGAGAATCCTGTCGGTAAGCCAATCTCTATTCCTGGATTCGATCGAATAAGACAACGCCAAAAACATACTATACCATTTCAATCACAACAGAAATACTCAAGTATGTGATACTGAGGCATCTCGGGGATAGAAAGCTCTGGTAACCATATCGTCGAATGACGTAATAAATAATTCACTTTCGATGTGAGTAATGCGAAGCTACAGCTGCGAGACGTTTTGACTTGCGCCAAAGATATAATTTTCAATGTAATCGAATACGTCTTAATTTGGCATAAAAATATGTGTTACATAAGTTATACCTAATAATTTAGGAACAAATACAATGTTAAAAAGTTTATTAAAAAATAAAAAAGACTGAGTTATTTTTATTTGTCGTGTGTAAAAAACTTCTAATTGAATGTTTGTTTTGTGTAAAATATTATAAGAATTAATTATTATATTGCCATTAAAGCTATAAGAATATTATTTCTGTCGATGAACTATGTATAATATTATATATTACACATGGAGTGTAATAATTATATATCGAATTGTGCGCACTATCTTGTGTTGAAAATATGAACTTAAAGTATACACTAAAAGGGATACAGATGGCGTTCGTAGTGATATTATAATGCATAATATTATCTACCTTTCGAAAATATTTTTTTTCAGCCTTAGTTTATTTTATATTCTGAATGATGATAATATGAATGTGTTGTTTCTACAACGATAGTTTTATTATCATTATTAAACCTTTTTGTGAACCCTTCTTCGGAACAATGAATGCTCTAAAAGTTTTATGACACACTTGTATGGATATGAAATCGAGACTAGATGGAACCTAAAGTAGATAATTTTTCATAATAGTTTCTCTAAAGGTAAAGAACGGCCATACCGAGCCAAATTTCTGTTTACCTGC